AACTTGTATTATAATCATGTGCGAAGTTTGAACTGTGTTGAAGTGCATCCTAAGGTGTAAGTTTTTATCATATATGTCATCGCAAGTTAATACATCCTAAAAGACACTTTATCACTCTATCAGAACCTCAATTCAATGAATTTGGTCCATGCAGTAATAGTAAAGCACATGCTAATACTATACACACTGAGACTTACTCATTTTCTTTTAGAATTCCAGAACAGGGTAGCAACACTTGAACTAAGTCAGCAACAATGTCTTCACTAAAGAAAATATCCAGCTGTAACCTGTATAGTATTAAGTCGTACATGTCACCTGACATCATCATTGGGATGTCACCTGACATCATCATTTAAACACACAATGATGAATGTTATCTTAATGCAGAGGTTCTTTACATTAACGTCCAGCTGAATATACATATCAATAATTACGGAATGATATAGAGCTGTTGGTGAATACAGGTGGTGGACTCCTTATCAAATTGGTCAAACCATATATATATATATATATATATATATATATATATATATATATATATATATATATATATATATATATATATATATATATATATATATATATATATATATATATATATGTATATATATATGTATATATATATGTATACATTTATATATATGTATATGTATATATATATATGTATACATATATATATGTATATGTATATATATATATATATATATATATATATATATATATATATATATATATATATATATATTTATATATATATATATATATATATATTTATATATATATATATATATATATATATATATATATATATAGATATATATATATATATATATATATATATATATATATATATATATATATATATATATATATATATGGAAATTCTTAAATAATTAATTTTCATTACATTAGGGAAAGATATAATGTGTCCTATCTGGACGTATCATTATTTTTTCGAAAGGTACAGTGTATGTTGTTTATATGTAAGAGAAATATTATGGGGGGGGAACATAAAAAGAGATTTCAGAAAATATAATCAGTAATTGGTCTCCATATAAGTAAGTCACCTAAGGGAAAATGCATTGCCAAAACAATACTTGAAAAAGTTAATGCAATACTGCATTTTCTCTTTAGACAAGAGTTCAACAATATTTTAATAGAAATAAATGTTTAGTGACATTTTCTTTATATGAGATTACTGGTGTAAGGGAGATAAATCTAAAATATCTTGATAACTCTTGCTTAAGTCAATTGATTCCCTTGCACCTAGTCTGCAACATATACCTCGCACATTGAAATAGTACGTAACCCTTTTTAAAGTTTTTTTTTTATAAAAAAATAAATAAAAATTGGATTAGTGCATGTCTTTTGATATGTTTGAGGATTCCAAAAAGATATTTGCTTAAAGAATTATGAAACTTGAACTCCATGGAACCAGTTTTATCACATATCATGTATGTTTGTGATTGTATTCATATCAAGTTCTTTATTGACGAACGAATTTTCCTTCTTCCTCATGTGGAATTCGTAAAGAGGTCAGAGAATTTGAATTAATAAGAACAGAATCTTTAGAATGGAGGCACCATACAGACATCTAGAAACATTTACAGTTCAATTTTCCTTCAGATTTAATTTGATTACCTTATAATTTTTATGTGAGGACTTTTTGCAACATAGAATGAAACGTGTATAAAACGATCACATGAGATACGTTAATAATAATAATAATAATAATAATAATAATAATAATAATAATAATAATAATAATAATAATAATAATAATAATAATGATGATGATGATGATGATGATAAAAATAATAATAATAATCGTAAATATAATAATAATAAAAATAATAAAATAATAATAATAATAATAATAATAATAATAATAATAATAATAATAATAATAATAATAATAATAATAATAATAATAATAACAATAATAATAATAATAATAATAATAATAATAATAATAATAATAATAATAATAATAATAATAATAATAATAATAATCATAATAACGGATTGACTTCCAGTGCATATGAAGTAAGAGTCACGATAATTGCTGTCGCAATAATTTCCAACTTTTATGATATTTATACAGATAACACTTGGGTGAGTTTTTCAAGAAATAATATTAGCGGCTTTATCATATAACGTTTACATAAACAATAAGATGAATATTAGAAAAAGTGACTACTTAGAATGAAGGTGTGAACGTAGACGGTCAGATGCATGTACATATCCATGCAGAAGTGGCCTGAGGCCAGACTACATATAACTGAAGTATCATCTTCACTAACCAAGATTCCGAAATGCTAACCCTATCTACTTCTTCACGACAGACCAGTTATTTTACTGGAAATCATGTGTTGCCTCCCTTAGCATGTGAGGACATATCAGGCATCAGTACACAATTTATAGTGTCTAACAGCTGTGCATTGTATATAGGTCGAAAATTGTGGAGGCAATTGACTTTAAAGGATACTTTGTAAATCTAACATCGAAAGTATGACTACGTATCAGAGAGAGGCTATTATATGTCTATTTGCTTATTTATGAATCCATTTAAGTGGTGTAGGAACAGTGTTCAAATGTGAAGAACTTAATTTTGTTTGAATGCGTAGGCTTGCGGCTGCATTCAATGAAATTCACAGACCTAAGCACAGAATTATCTGTTCAATCCATCAAGGTATAGATGGGGTTAACATATCAGGCATCGGTACACAATTTATATAATCCGGTTCAGTACGAATGTAGTCCCAGTCTATTTTTAGATCACTTTTTCCTGTCTGAAATTGGTGGTGATACTAGAGTTAGATTTTGGCATTCTTGGTAAGGATTTAAAGGCAATTGTTTATACTTTAAAATGTGAGCTTATGGTGTGGTTGTCTGTGTGTATTTCGGCGACAGTGCACATTGAGTAATAAGGTCATGGTGATCTGTGTTTTGTTTACAATTCAGCTTCTCAAAAAATATGCAGGTCAACCCTTGACAAGAACTTCACCGTAAAGTCATCTTTGAAGGTGTTTAGATTAACATATGATTTGTATTGATTGTCACACAATGAAAAGTTCAGTACTGAGAAACAAATGTAGAGAGAATATAGTAAAATTAATTGTGTTCTACGGCCATCAGAACCATAACGAGCGAAGAAGCTTTGTATACTCTTCGCTGTTGTAAGATGGATCTTGATTTGGAGCGGAAGAAATGGAACTTAACGAGTTTTTCTATTCCGAGTGAAAAATAGTACCCGACATTTAAAATGCAATAGATTAAGGAAAGAATTTTTATTTTACAAATGTGACAAGCAATAACAGATATATACACGTAGGTATTTGACGATGTTAGAAATGATGCTGCTATTGAAAAAACAAGAAAGAACTCTAGCCGAAGCCTGTAAAATGTATATTGTGATAGGTGTTCCACTTATTTTTATGAGGAAAGAGATCTGATTTTATTAACTATGTTGATAAATTTAAACACAAAGCTGTATTGAAACGTACACAAAAACTATAAATTTGTTTCTTATCAACGGTTACAAATATTTATATCGGAAAAACTAAATAAAAATCAGCTAAACTAAATTCAGGTGGGATCTTGGTGTTTGTTCGAGAGCACTTTTTGATGAATTTAAATATATCCATAAAATAAAGTGTCTCAGAATGTATTATTTGGTTATCAATTAAAGTATATTGTAGAGAAACTTAATGTTTGGTTTTATTTATTTGTCAATTGAAAATTCCCGTTCACTCCGAAGCAAATGCATATTCAGTGGTTGAAAATTTCTATGCAGTAGTAGAAAATGAGTTACCTAAAATAATATAAATGCTGAAATTTGAAAGAATACTTGCGGGTATATTTAATGTGTATGCTTTTATCTAACCAGGTTTTATGAAAAATATTAGAGTTGTTGACCTACTTCAATTTTGTATTGTCAACCAATATAAATGGATGAATTTATGGTAATGCAGTACTGCAAAATTGTGTCATATCTAATGTTGGAGTTGTCATATATATACATATATATATATATATATATATATATATATATATATATATATATATATATATATATACATATATATATATGTATGTATGTATGTATGTATGTGTGTGTGTGTGTGTATGTATGCATGTATGTATGTATGTATGTATGTATGTATGTATGTATGTATGTATGTATGTATGTATGTATGTATGTATGTATGTATGTATGTATGTATGTATGTATGTATGTATGTATGTAGTTTTTAGCGGCTTGACACATGATAATGTGGATGTCTAAATGTGTGTTGAATTGGAATTCCGAGATTTCGCTGGAGCTAAAAATTACATTATGCTGAACCACTGATACGTGAGCCCGGTAGCAGATATGTATTGTGTGATATATGTGAATTTTATTTTTGTGTAAAATAACTTTGAATAAGCTGAGTTATATATTCAATTTTAGAAATCTACATTTACATTTGATGAACATGAACATATTTTTCAGTAGCTTTTATTGGTTTAAATTCTATTATATCAACTATAACGAGATTAATAGATTTAACTGGACTATGTGTATATATGTAGTTGCCGGATTTTGCACATTTACTATTCTTGCTTGGTGTGATTGCTTGTAAATTTTCCATTATTATCAACTTTATCTGAGTTTATGCGATCAATAACAAGACCGTCATCTATCACACTATTTAAACACTCGTATACGAATCTGTTAAATAATAATTTTTTCTTGAATTCCACTAGCAATCATGAAGTAGCCCATGTTACCGACATTTCCAAGATTTCTTTTAATGATCCCAGCTCTGTTGACCTCCTAATTAACGTATATTGGGTACCTCCTGAATTCATCAGGTACTATCTCTTTCCCAGCTTTCTCCATTATATTATTCTACTTATTATTTGTAATATATCTCTCGATTTAATCTCGTGTGTCTTTTATTTTTACGTTATCATCAGAGTTCATTATCTCGCAATATTTCTTTCGTGCAGGAGACCGCTCGGTAGTCTAACGGTAGAGCGACCGCGTCGGATGCGAAGGGTCGCGGGTTCGAACCCCGGCCGAGTTATACCAAAGAATTTAAAAATGGTACTAATATGGGCTTCGGTTGGCGCTCAGTATTAAGAGGTTAGTGTTAGGACTGGTCGACCTGGTGTCAGGGTAATGTGTCTTGATACTCCATTATGCTACATGTCTGCGGCATAATGCACCAGTGCTAAACATCACTATAAACTGCCACAATGCAGACATCTTAGCGATATGACTGAAAAACTGTTAAAACTAAGCTAACGATCTAACTCATACATACACACCCTTTTGTGCACGATATTTTCGTCTCCCACGAAAAAACACATAATTGTGTTTTCCTTTCACCCCACCCCACATATTAGACATGGTTTGGGACTGGTACTGCCAAGTCTGCCATTTATCATATGAACACTACAATAATCTCCACGACAATTGTTCCCCAATGAGTTACTACTGATTGGCATAATTATAATATATCATAATTTCAAATTAGAGGAAAATCCTATTGTATTCAAGAAAGTGTATCCGTATACCACAGCACTAACTAGTTCTGCTGTTGCAAAGCAGCTGATGGAACAGTATTTTAGTCTAACCGGGATAAAACTACATTTTCCAACTCTAGAAATTTACAAAATCAGATTGACGAATTATTAACCGCGAGTGATATTGAGAGAGTATCAAATATCGAACCAGAGAAGCTTTTCGAACTAGAATGGAAAAGATTATCGACGATTGAACCACTACACCCAACCAGATTTGACTTTGACAGATTAACCAAAGATAAGAAACAACTAACGCTTCTGTTGCAATTACACGAATTGATCAAAATTATCAGAAATCAGTTTCCTAAAAAGAAGTGTGTATCATGTTTTCTCAACGTTCAAGATAGACGGCTATGACATTTTCGTTGGCTTCACCATGAACGACATACTAGCAGCTACGATTAATCATAATCTTGCAGCTGCCAATCAATATCTCTTCAGAATAAAATTTATTGTTGAAGATGGCCCAACATGGATTATTCGTGATAAACTGAACTCTGTTAAGGTATCACGGCGACATAACGATGTCGTCCGAGTGGACAAAAACTCAAAATCGGGTACGTTTATCGGAATAGACAAACCATACGAAATAACGTCTATCCGGTATGAGCGGTGTTTTATCCACTGTACAGTTTAAACGTTCCTGATAGTAATGCTCTCCCACCGATGAAGACAGGCACGTTAACTATTTAGAGAACATTTTATTAACTCGAGACGTGGAAACGGACTCACGAAAAAATGGTACAATAGGGGAAAACTTTCATATCAACGGAGTTAAAATATATGAAGTAGAAGTGTTGGGAAAAAACATCGAATTTTCCAATCGTGCTAAAACAATTACAAACGATATTTTGCACAATTTCGGCAAATACCGTAGTATTTCTCCCGAATAACGATTCTAGACCATAATTCACACGCCTGGACTGAATCAGTAATGAAGTTTTCTCTAGAAAGAACAATGCGATTTTATTACAACGATATATTGAAGAGATTTATAATATTAGTGCGAGCGACCCTGTATCTGTTTGGTTATTTCACGGTGACGATGCAAATTTATCTGAGTCAAAAATTCTTATTTGTTTACAGAGTTATCAGACGCGGATTTATCCGCCACAGATGAGTCAACATTTGATCAATTTGTGCTACCGTCTGGCATACTTTACGGGAAAGAATTTCTGCAGCGTGCGATGAAACAGATTGTGGTAAAATATAACTCATATAGCACAAATAAAACATTCATGGCGTCCAGCACCAAAAGAATTTCACTAAAGTATATCACGGTTTTGTGGTCTCCAAAACATGGTGGTCTCTGGAACATAAAATGTAAGTCCGTCGAAATGATCTAGGTTGACAACGTTGCTTTCTACGCTGCGTCAGGCGATGATACTGGTTGCGGTAATTGGAGAATAAAGAGTGAACATATTAATAATTATTCTGAATCAGCTGAAACGATAAAGAATTATAAGAATCATCATTATCACCGTCGTTGAATGGTCCAGTAACGAGACATAGAACCATCTATATTAATGATCCCGGCGCTCATGTAATTTCATGTTGGCACATGTATATATTTCTTTCGCGATAATACTGATGACATCAGCAACACCGACAACAACAGAGACACCAGTTCCATCCCCGGGTCATTTGACGTGCGTCGCTAATCGCCAATTAAAGTCGTTGTTTGAGCAACCAGCGAGGAGACGATGTATAAAAAATTATCGATGACGACGATTCGTCTGCAATATTTTTGTTTTTGTTTGTGATGTGATTTTTTTCGAGTTATATCTTCCACCCACATGCTTATTTATACCAAAAGGACTGGGTAAGATTCATTATGGTATATATTAAGTCACCAACTGAGGTGTTTGCTCGATGAATTCCAGACACCATCATTACGTCGTTGCGTTACGTCGTTGCGATTAAGACTGTATCTGCTGGTTCCTCGGTATTTTGATTTAACACGACTGACACTGTTCCGTCATTGAGGTCATTATTCTGGGTCCTGATGCTTTTTTCCAGCACCATGCGTTCTGTCAGCGATAATTTATTTGATCTATGCAACGCTGCTGATTTCATAGATTTTACCCTAGAATTATTCTTTGATGCCGATTGCAGGTTTTAAATCAGACCTGGTTTCAACGTTGCATTTTCGGAGTAACGTTGAAGTGATGATATGACATAATAATATCATGAATGATCTAATTATATGTTTGGAAAATAATCAAATATTCTCAAGTGACGTATCGACGACTCTCACTCCAAAACCTTCAAGTACCATTGCTTTGTCCGATTATATGACTACGATCGTTCTGTAGCGGTCAGCTGGTACAGGACCAACAGTTGCTTGCTCTTGTACTTAAACGACAGACTGTCTAAACAAATCCAGATGTTCCAACAAAAAGTAATAAATCGAATACAAAATTGATAAATTCCGCTGAGATATCTGCAGTTCGGTGTCTATATTCTGATCACGCCCCATAAATCTCATCAGATTTTATGCCCGTGCTGCATTGTTTTGGTCAAAATTCAGTATTATGTCTTTCAATGGTTCTTAATCATTTATCCTCAGCGATATCGTAAACACTGAGAATCTATAAAAAAATCATTGGGTTTTCTGTCTGATAGTCATACCTGGTGGCTTACTGAAATGATACGAATATATGTCGTGGTGCCGAAAATCTTTGCTGTGATGTGATTTGCAATGAAAATATTCTTGCTGTGCTGCAGTTGTGTTTGTGGTCATTGTCAGCCAAGACAACGCTGATTTGTCACCACTATCCATGAACGAAAATATCCCGGCTTCTTTTGTCCCTGATGGAGTCGGTGTTAGCATACATAACACTAGTTTTGTTACCGTTATATTCACCAGTATCACCTCCAGCAATCCCATATAGCATCGCTGCCTGTGGCCCTTGAACCGTATGCTTGGCCACGAATATAAATTTTCTAACAAGTCTACAAAATCCGAAAATATATGATAGTGGTATCACACATGAAAATCCACCATCGGCGTTATCCTGAAATCGTCGTGCTGAAAACTATAAGTTCAATTCTGGATTGGTGCTCTGTAGTGTCGCAGTACCACCCGGGCCTGGTCTGCGTATCATTCCAGATGTATGTGGATCGAAAGTGCTAGCCTGTGTTATTTGTACCATGAGATGCTGCCTGTGGTCGGGATGGTCAGTAATGTCCATCGCGAACATCACGAACCGGCGGACCATGAATAGTCATCGGAGTATCGTGCAAGACCGAGAATTGTAGTAGCAACATCAATGTTATCGAGGCATGCTTCGATTTCTTTACCATCAATTAAATATCTGGTTCTGTTAATCAATGTCATAATACCATTGCTAACTAATCCACAATGTTCATTTACAGCGTATCATCATTTTTCACAAGTTTACCATGAACTTCAATAAGTCCTTGGCGGGCAAGATATTTCTTAATGCATCTGAGACTTGTAGTTCGATTCGTCTACGTTGGTCTCGTTCCCATGTTTCATAAGAATAATATTGATAATCGCGTATCAACCATCTTTGAGTACTGGTGCATCCATGTCTAAGTCTGCATCAGAAACACGCTTGAACACTTCTATTATATTCACTTCTGTCTAAAATGATGTTCTAACACTGACCAATATTACCAACGACGACGGACATGACTACTACCCACAATTAAGTTTGTGGTTATATTTTCTCGATCTCATCTGCGCCTTGCTTGGTTAGTGACGCCCCACCAGGCATTTCTTTCAGCCACTCATTTGCAGCCTGATTTATTTTTTTTGCTGACACTTACTGTCATAACAGTTTTACCGGTTTGATTTTAGGCGCACTATATCATCAGTTGCTTCATTAATAATTTCGTATAAATTATTACCGGCTTGTCGTCCACCCATCAGAATTTCTAGTCGATCAACATCAGCGAGGGTCTTATTGGGACAAAGTGTATCCTGAATCGCCGGCGAGGTATGCTTTTTATGACGTCTATCGCGAGTGGCAAGGCCACTTCCTATTACTTCTTTCTCAATACGAGGTAGTCTGAATGGTAATATTTCCGACGATAAAATATCTCCAGGCAATGGCCTTTTTCTAGCTTTTTCGACTTGTTTCTCAGCATTTTAAAATATAAACTTATATTCACCTTTGATTTTACTTATACCATTCCTCTTTCGAAATACAAAAGGAACCCAATTTATTTTTAAAACATTAGCAGTATTTAGGTCAAACAAAATATCACGATATGAATATCCTGGTGCAGCAACCGTATAGGGTTTTTTTATAAAGCATTCGGCGACCTTCTTCTGTAAATTCAGCAAGTGTTTTTTTTCCCGACAGATTCTAGTGCAACAAGATACCCTACATCACCGATCCCAGATGTGCTAGATCGATACCCTCTATTATTGGAAGTATTTATTTTTCTAAATGTGGTTGAACAGCAGTTATTTCGGCTGGAATTTCTCTGAGAATCTTTTTTGTATTTTTTTTCTGCTATTTTTCCA